AGGACTTGTTTTTAAGACAATGGTCTGCATTTCCTAACCATTTTATTGTGTGCATACAATCCCTGAAGCATTTAGACACCAAGGCATGCACAATGGTCTAAATGTGTTATTTTAGTAGGAGAAAATGTTTAGGAAGGTTTAATCTGTATCTAGAACTGGAAAAAAAACGCATATAATTAAGAGACAATCATGGTGATTGTAAGCAGAAGTGCATGTAGCATATACTGACAGATTTGCTTAAAACAAAAGAATAAAAAAATAAAACATTGCATGGCCAAAAGAGTTATGAGGAAAAACATAAAGCTTTTTAAATTTGTAAAGTAGTTTTTGAGATATGCTGCTCCAAAACCAACAAACAACTTGATTGATGATTAAAAACATGTTGTCCCTGACAGAAAGTAATAATGTACAAACTTAAAACTTGGATCCAGTATACAAATAAAGCTTTTATTAAGTTAGCAGAAAACACAGACAATAATGCTAAGATTCACTGGTGGTCTGGAGCTGGAGTGAAGCAATAATTTGATGAATCCAAGAACTGAAGACTGGTACCATTTAATTCTTTATAAAGATAATATCCTTGATCCAGATTTTATCAATTTATACAAATTATTACTGACCAAATGCATTTGATTTAACATCAGTACCTTCAGTCCTCCTATCTGCTTAACCTCTCATATGCCCCTCACTTCTAATGAACCACAGGGGCCGTTAACATTATCGGCTTTATGACACGACTGGTAAAGATCACCGGGACTACTCTGAGCCCCCATTCCTCAGGTTTAAGTCCTCCGACCATATTCTAATGCTCTCTCTATTAAAAACCATTTATGACTGCAGTGACTGAAATGTGCTTAACAAGTCTGTCATCGTTGCAGCTTTGTTAGCATCAGTTGAGCCAATCGAATGTGAAATGGCTTGCTGGGTGATGAAACCCCCAACAGTGAACTTTGAGGCTGAGGGATTTGGTCTGGGTGGACAGGTGGTTCGACTGGAGAGGCAGGAGCTCGGCACAGAGCCTTTGAAATCTTCTCAACTGGAAAATGTGGACGCTTTTGAAACGATAAGAGCTCTACACTGCAAATAAGTCATTTGATCTGGTGCAGGGTCTAGAATCCGTTCTCTCTATGGAACAAAAAATGATGTTATTTATATAGCACCTTCCAAAACAAATGTACAAAATACAATATGGGAAAAACATCAAAAATAAAAGTAAATGAAACCCAAATCATAAAATATAACAAAAATCACAACAGATACCATCAGTTGAGAAAAAGACCCAGCTACAAGTGAGTGAACACGTATGAAACATTGTGCAACATAATGAAATCTTTCTAAATGAATCAGACACTTCAAGGATGTTTTTCAATTAACTTCTACTGCATGTTTTTTTTTTTTTTAAGACAATGTCACCTTAAAGTAGGTTACAAATCTCTGAGGAAAGTTCAATTATCTTAGATTTTTTTTTTTACTTGAAAAATACTGAGAACAATTACAAAGTTGCATACTTTTTGCAGTGCATGCCATACTTCTGCCCTTCTACTTCCTGCAGTGATTTTCAACTAATGAAACAGATTTCTAAAGTCTACAGCTTAAAATATCCCAGACCTGTGAAAACAGTATAGTAACATTTCATGGAGACTTACATGACATTGAGGTTTCACTTAATGTTTCTTATTCTGCTTATTCAGTTAAACGTATTCAGAAGAGTTGGCTTATATCTACCAGTAAAGAGGCATGGAACCTTTTTATTTTTAAGGCATTTGTATCTTTTACTCCTTGTTTGTTGTTTTCTGCTCTTTTTGGCATTGATTCACAAAGACATGGCATTTTGATGCCATCTTGCTTCTGTCTTATGATGTAGACTATTTCTAGTTTAAAAAAAATTCATTTAAAAAAATACCAAAAATCATGTGCACAAAGTTTTCAAAAGGAATAAATTGCAGCCACTGGGATGCAGCCAGTTTACATTCTTAAGAGAGAGGATGCAGAATGAACTTTCCTAACAGCTGCCTTTACTACCCTTTGCATGTTAATGTCTAACGCCAGTGTTTTTAAAGTTTGCTTTCTTCAATATCTGTGCATGACAACAATAGAATTAGCCAAAGGTCAACTTTATGGCAAACAAACTATGGCTGAGCAACTGTGACAGGGCACGAACTACTTTATGAAAGTCAGATGGGCTGCACACCCATCCACCACCAAGTTAGTTAAATAAGATGGATATATATGTTTATATACTATATGGAAACTTGGGTAAATAGACGTGTTTCATTTATATTTGTCTTTAAAATCTGACATTAAACATAAGGTGCACATTTTTCTCTTCTCTATCAATACAGTATATGAACAAAATGATTTGAGCTGTCTTTATATAAACCTGCCTTTGGCTGCTCCTTCGAATGAAATGTCCAGTTATCTGACGTTCACTCTGTCATAACAGTTGACAGGTGAGTGGAGAATATGTGGGGGCGAGGTATCGTCCTGAGGAAATGCCAGAGAAATTCAACTGACCTCTATGTTTCACATGGATCAGTGAACACGGATATCATCCACCCCACATGCACACACAGACATATTAACAGATATTGGCCCACACGTAACACACGCAACACGCTCTCACACACACACAAATCAATCACCCAACTCAGGAGGGCATTAATGATGTTGTTGACGTTAATGAGGAAGGGGACATGCTCATGAAGAGAGCTAACGATGCTAATCATGGAGATATCACACCCCCCATAACAAGCCGTCATGTCAGCGAATGAGTCATCGATTGGCAGGGAACACTTCCTGATTGAAGCCAAACGAGCCAATCGCAAGAAACGGCAAAACAAAAAACCCCATCTGCAATATGTGGTTGTTCACACCTTGAAGGTAGGAATCTACTGTAGTTATCAAATTACTTCACAGCAATATTTGAATGTATTCTGCACAGTTTGTGCTGTAAAAACCCTGCAGAACCAATACAAAAGTGAACTTTTCAGAAGCAGCTGTTTTTTATTTTTATTTTCTGAACACACATATTCACAGAGCTTTTCTTGTTTCATTAAGGAGGACACAAACCCTCAACTGGAATTTGAAACAGGAAACTCCGCTAAAGGAGGATTCCATTTTTAATCCCCTATTACAGTTACAGTGTGTTATGCATCAAGGAAAGATACAATGCAGGGCCAAAAGTATGTGGACAGGCATTTCATTACAGAGGAAGTTAGGAAACAACAGCCATGAATCAATGAATATGGGTGATCATGTTAAAGGCCTAAACCTTTTGAAAGATTGGACATTAAACACCCAATGCTCTTATGAACTCTTGGATGTGATTGTTGAACAGCTCTTTCCAAATTCATAGGCATTAATCTGCAGCTGTAACAGCCTCCACTCTTCCGGTTTTAGGCTTTCCATAAGATTTTGGAACCTTGCTGCAGGGATTTACTCCCATTCAGCCACAAGAGCGTCAGTGATGTCCGACACTGATGTTGGGTGTTGGCCAGTCTGCCTTCTAGTTCATCCCAAAGGGGTTGGATGGTCTTGAGGTCAGGGCACAGGCAGAACCATGCCAAAAGAATACAACAGGGATGTGGACAAGGGAGTCCACATACTTCTGGCTTTAGTGTATAAGGGGTTAAGTCACGATCAGAAGACATATCAGGATAAATGGTAAATGACCCGATTTAAGATAGCTGAGAAGGTCTCATTATAACATAGAAAAAAGACAGACAGAGAGAGAGAGAGAGAGAAATATGAAAAACATACATTTATATGCAAGAAGAAATCAAAGCGTTAATTTGTGAAAGAGTCAAACTTATTTGCATTTCACGCTGTGGTTTCCAGTTCACTGGCAGCCTTAAATATAATTTACCATCCTCCAGCTGATTGCAAATCTGGGATCTGGTTTCCTTTCTATATCTAAATATTAATAGTCTCCATTACACGAAAATTACTTTCATCTCCGACTCACAAGGAGGGATTAGATTTTAATCAACGCATTAAATATGACTTTCTATTCCTGCAGATGGGAGAGGATGGCAGGCAGTCAATTAGTATCATGCTCTGTTTGTGGTCTCAAAATGAAGCCTGATAAAGTCTTTGTTATCACAGAGGCTGCAAAAAGCATAAACAAAACGACAAAGTGACATGTGACTGAGGCAACATAATGATGAGCTTCTGTCAAGGATTAATGCATCAATATAACTTTAAAACAGGCTTCTGAAAAGACATCTTTTGAATGAATAGATTTATCCAAAAAAAAAAGGCATTCATGGAGTGTTTGTGTTCTCTTACTTATGCGACTAAAGATTTAAACTAGTAGCATATCTGAAGATTATTCATCAATCACAGTGACTTCAAATATCAACATCCATAGAATGATACTAAGTTGGAGTCAATCTGTTGTACTTTTGACTTCCACACAACACTGAACATCATCAAAAACAAAGTAACTGATGACACAGAAGCAGAAGAAACAAAATGAAACATAAAAAGTGCCATGTACAAGTGAATTTCTCTGTATCTGTAGCTTTCTTTATTTAGAGGCAGTTCAAAACCTTGCCTCAAACTATAAATTCTTCTCTTTATGAATGTTTTTTTTTGTTTGTTAATGCGGCTGTCTTTGTGTTGCACCTGTTTCCCACTATCTTGCCTCTTTCTGCATTTTAAAGTTACATCATGCTAAATAATTAAAACTTTAATCAAGAGATTAAATTGTTGAAAAGATTAACGATCCAATTCCTGAATAACATTTTATTTCTAATTAATTTATTTCACAACTTAAAACACTGAAACATAAAGTCACTGGAAACCTTTGTCTCTCAGGAAACGTGTGCTCTCCAGCTAATCTGACAGAATGTGTTCAGTCATTTTCTCCACTGCTACCCGCACTAAATCAGAGCAACTCCCAGGTGAGATCAATAAAGCCTGATTAGCTTGATGACACACAGCAGGTTTACTCTGTTTATGTTGGTCGGGCAGGTGGTCCTGTGGGGTATTTATGCCAAACCAAAGTGGCTTGTAGCTTGTTGTTTGAGGCTGTGGTCTTCAGCATGGCTCAGTTTTTCATTTTTATTTTTATGCTCATGACACTTGCAGTTTCAGCAAGGCACTTTTTTAGTGGGAGGCCAAGTTGTTACCAGTCAGTGCCCAGGAAACCCAATTTTGGGGTGAAGTGAGTTGCCTGCTCATGAATTTCATCTTTTGGCTCTTAATTTTTGTGTTTTTTTTTTTTTTACTGAGGTTTGGTGTGTAAAGGTAGCTTTCTCTGTATCTCTGAATAGTTTGGCTAGGTTTTATTGAATAACTTCTTAGATGCTTGGTCTGATGAAGATGAATCCCACCATTATGCTGCTGATGTAAATAGACTTAAGAGCTTTCTTGATGACATTTAAAACCATCATTGTCTTAATTCTTAAGACCGTTTTTGCCTTCAACTGTGCTTCACAAGCTCTGCACTGCCCTGAGCAAGCTGTAAATTAGTTTTTGGATTACAGATGATTGAGGTTAATTTTGCTATTGCCAGTGAAAATTCTAGGACTTAGACACAGAAGGTTTGCCCTTGAACAAAAGTAGTTTACGTATGGATTGAGTTCTTGGCTTCACTCATTCACAATGAAGTTTGCCTGGATCCTTGGTCACCAACAGCATTGACTAGTTTGTCTTGTGTGACTTTGATTACATTCATTCAGTAGTTAAGATTAATCTAAAATTTGGTTAATGTGCATACTTGACCAAATTCCTCAATCTCAGATTTGTGATGAGGATTGTAGTCTGACCTGGCTGTGTTTTTGCTTCTGCCTCATCATAGTAACCTTGCTGAGGTGTATTTGTGTTTCGGAAACTGACATTGAGGCAGCGTCACTGTCGACCTGCTGCACTTAAAATCTCATTGTGCCTGTAAAATGATTCGGAAGAACTAATTTCTTTTTCCTCCTCAGAACTGCACCTCGTCCACATGAAATTCTGAACCTTGCTAAACTACCAAAGTCCTGGGACTGGAGGAACGTAAATGGCATAAACTACGCCAGCACGACTCGTAACCAGCACATCCCTCAGTACTGTGGTTCCTGCTGGGCTCATGGCAGCACAAGTGCAATGGCAGGTTAGATTGATTTGTTTTAGCAACAGTTTCTGAATTGCCTTTAGTGGGTTTAACTAGCACAAAGTTCCTTGTTTTTAAATGGTATTAGAGTTTAAAACCTACAGCCACGTATCAGAATTGTGTTCCCCCTCTAGATAATCTACAGAACATGCTGGCAACACTTCATAGTACAGAGTAGCCCTAGATAAAACTTCTAACATGAGGTGTCTTGATTATTCAGGATTTGTTTCTGGAAAAGATGCTGCCTTTTTAACTTTTAAAGACAATTTACAAGCACCACTGAAATTCCTTTGATGTTAAAACTTCTAAAACTAAATTTAATAGTTACTATTGCTTGCAAAAGTCGTCTTTGCTTCCTGCCAACAGTTGGATGAGAAGATGGGACCTGTCATGTCAGATGGGAAGCTTGAGTTGGTAATCAATTGCCTTACCATAAAGACAAATTTATAAGGTTTTAAAAAAACTGGGCCTTGCTTCCTGTATTGCATACAGACAAGCAAGTGGTATCAAATTTGGGTAACTCTTTGCAAATTTATGTATTTAACAAATGTGGCACTATAAGGCTAGAATTTTATGCACGATTTGGGCAATAGTCTTGCATACAGAGAACCCATGGTTATGGTGCACCATCTCTATAATGTGTTGACTTTAATCTGAATTTGGAGCTTGCCCATTTGGACATGGCTTTGCTTGGAGGAAATCAAAATCTTTCCTCAATAGTATGCAAATTAAATCTTGTCAAGATAACAGATGGGAACCTTGGTAATATCAAATCATTTGAGACTTGAGCTGAGCTTTTCCAGAATAAATATTGCATTTGTGGGAACTTTCTCTTTGCTGCCTTGTGTAGATCGTATCAACATCAAGCGGAAAGGAGCGTGGCCATCTTCTTATATTTCTGTCCAACACGTGGTTGACTGCGCTGAGTCTGGCACCTGTCACGGAGGGGACCATGGAGGGGTGTGGGAGTATGCCCACAATCATGGCATCCCTGATGAAACCTGTAATAACTACCAGGCAATTGACCAGAGTAAGAACACTGCAGTAGTGTGCCCTTGGTTTGATCCATTCAGTTTTTATCCACAAACCTTAATGTTTTTTCCCCTCAGAATGCAAACAATTCAATGCATGTGGGACTTGTTCCACTTTTGGAAAGTGCAACACTGTGCAGAACTACACTTTATGGAAAGTAGGTGACTTTGGAGCCATTAGTGGACGGGAAGATATGATGGCAGAAATCTACACTGGCGGGCCAATCAGGTGTTTGTTTTTTTTTTTTTTTTTTTTTGTTGTTGCTGAATTAGAAATGACCTCAGTTTTTAGAATGTCTCTCGTATAATTTGAGGATGGCTAATCACTTCAAATGTTGTACCAGAAATGGCCATAAATGCTGAATGACAATTGAATCCCTCTTCCCTCAGCTGTGGAATCATGGCCACAGAGAAACTTGATGCATACACCGGGGGTCTGTACTCTGAGTATGTTGAGACTCCTGACATCAACCACATTGTGTCAGTAGCTGGCTGGGGAGTAGAAAATGGCACTGAATACTGGATTGTGCGTAACTCCTGGGGAGAGCCATGGGTGAGTCATCGCATAGTAACTCAATAGCTTCAGTCCTTGCATGGTTCAGTAGCTTTTAAACTTGGCATTTAAAAATTGGGATGTTGGAATGAATTGCAGTGGGTGCACTTGATTTATGATCCAAGTGACCTTGAGTGGGTTTTGTTTTTTTTCTCCTAGGGTGCGAGAGGCTGGCTGAGAATTGTGACAAGTGCCTACAAAGGAGGAAGTGGAAACAAGTACAATCTTGCTTTGGAGGAAGACTGCATGTATGGAGATATGATCGTACCTTCAACCTACCTGTAGACGTCAAGGACCATGTGTAATTCTCAACAGACAAGGGATTGATCCGGAGTCCACGATTGTCACATCTTGTATTGCTTTAATTGTAGTCTTGTCCTAATGAACAGATGGAAGCACTGACTCAGCTCGAAGTCATTTCTGACTGGGCCAAATTATTTAACTGGAAATGTCAGTCAGTAATTCAAGCCAGTGAAATAAATTGCTTGTGCAGCATTTAACTTTAACCAATGAATTTGTGCATCCTTTACTCTGACGGGGTAGTGGAAACTGAAATGGACAACTCTCTTCCCTTTTGCCAGTGTTGCCAAATGCTTGCTCCTTAAGGGGATTGTTGGGTGTCTGTAAATATTGGCCTACATCTGGACCTGCTCTATATGAAAAGTGCCCTTAACTTCTGTTATTTGGTGCTGTAAATTCAAACTTTTGGACAGCAATTTTCAGAACTACATAAAAATAGGCACTTCATGATTAAACTACAATGTGTAAAGTCAGTGCAGTACCCTTAATGGGAAGTTTTTATTTTTGAAGACTGAGGAACAAAAAGGAGGGCACTCAAAATGGCTGTAGTAAATGTGAAGTGATTTGAATTTAGGGTGTGGGGATCACATTTTTGGGGTGAACTATTCCTTAAGGCTTGGTACACCTGAGACCAGATGCCCCACAAACCTGCTTTTTTTTTTTTTTTTTTTTTTTAAGGTTGCTTCCCTATGCACACAGAAAGGCACTCTGCTTCTGGTATTTCCTAGAAAGTTGCTAAATTAACTTAAGATCTCCAGGGGAAATTTACAAATTTGCTCTGGAGATACTTCACTTACTACATACTGATTTCTCTTTCTGTAGTTCTGACACAAACCATGTAGCTTAATTTGCTTCTGCCTGGTGTGCATGTAGATTGATACAAGGTCAAGTTGTAAGGAGTGTAAACACAATTTTCCAGGCTTTAGAGTTGTACTCTGACAGCGATTGTTTTCTGAAACATAACATACAGCAGCCCACCTGTCATTACCTTGAGACTTCAGGTACCAGGATGACTAAACTGAGCTGGTCTCTAAAAAAGCAAATGACATTTGTTTGTTCTATATCTCTGAGCTTGATAAACAGACCCACCTCCATTATTGACTGACATGCTTTATTAGTTTCAATTCTGTCATGCTTCTGGAGTAACATTCAGTTTAATCACCAGTTATCTACAGTGGCACACACAACAGCATAATGCCATCCTCTGAGTTTATGTGCAATTACAAGAGCCCATTTTCTTGCTGTTCAGGTGGGGAACAAAAGAAAACTGAGCACTTAGATATTTGGTTCAGGGGACGCAACAATAATAAAAATGCATAAACACAAGCTGCCATGCTTTGCTGCTAATATGGAAATGCTTCCCATTAACTGCAGTTTCCAGTCAGCATCTCTGGGGAGAACAAAGGATAATCAAACCTTACGCAGCGCTGTTAACTTCAAGCCTCCGAACCAAGGCGAACCTTAAGCCTATAAAGCTGTGGTGTGTCCGAGTGGAGGCCCACTGCGAAAACAAATATTGAACATAATTCAGTTGCTCAGTATTATGCGATCAAGCCCCCACCCTGGAGCACTCTTTCACGTGAAATCAAATTTGTGCTCTGATTAAATTTCCTGCATGTTTTCTCATTTGCATAATCACAAACAGGGCTCTAATGGCTGTGAATGGAAACACATGGTAATCTTTGGGTCGGCAGCTTAAAAAAGAGCAGTGTGTGTGACCAAAAAAATGGTATGAAAACTGCAGGTTGCAAATGCCAGGAACCATTTTCATACGGAGTGATTCGGCATTCGTCTTCATTACAGCAATCGATATGGCAAAATAGATTTTTCAGCAATTCCTGCAAACCCATTATGTATTGTTTCGGTGATCAATATGTCACTCTGTAAACATAGAGATGGAGGGGCTGGTTATTACAGAGGCCTTTTGGTAAAACCGAATCTTGGATTATTATGTTAAATAGAGTTGGAGGGAGTATCCACATCTAAAGTATCTTTAAGCAAGGCATTGTAATGATTGATTTGTAGCAGCTGCCTCCAGCAGCAGTGTAGGAATATGCAGAAACCTTCCCTGTGTGTGTGCTTTGTGTAATCCTTCCCACTGCATTCGCCTCTCCAAGGCCACTGCTGAAACTTGCCTCATGAAATAAGCAGCAGAGAACAAAGGATAACCAGACAGCCACAGAACACATTTTGGTATTTCACAGAAAAATGTGTTTTCTGATTTAGCCTAGGAGGTTAAAGACATATCTCATGTTAATGAATCAAAACATGCCCAAATGATGCATTTCAATTATTACTAGCAGTGCAAACAGATGCAATAAGAGTGAAAAAAGGGATCAGATTTTTTCATGCATTCAACAGTAACATCAATCATTCATTTATCGTGTCAAATATGAATTGAGCAGACTTTTCACCCCACATGCCACAAATCTAGTCCTGTTTGCCAAAACTTAAGGCCTGGATCACAGCACAGAATGTGTTGACGATCCTAATCATAATGCATGAAGCAGATTAGCTCTTCAACATGATATAAATCACTCATTATCATACCCCTAACTTCAGCAAAAGGCATGTCTGAGCTGATTTGCATTGCATAATTCATCCAAAGCACAAACAGACAAAAAAAAATTTAGATGTAAGTCTAATATTGCTAATGAGCCCTTGCTGGAAATATGATTCGATCATTAAAAACAAAGTGTCTTCCTCAACCAGCAACCACTTTTCCTGATGATGTGTTTTTCCCTCTGTCAAGCAAAAAAAACAAAAAACACTTACACAACAATCACTTAGTCAGTGTGATTCCTAAATCGATTTACAGCCGTAGCCACCCCACTGATGTTATGCATCATTCCACTGCTAATCTCACTTCCTTGTCCAATATACTCATGCAACCTCGAGGCGGCCGCAGAATTAGCTTTACTTAATGGATGAGAATAAATCCCTCTTAGTCACAACAAAATTAAGGAATAATATGGCCATGAATATTTCAGTTACTCTGCAGCAACACAGGAATCTGCTCGCACAATCTGCCCTGGCTTGCAAAAAAAGAAATGGCGATCACATACATTATTAATGCTTCATCATAAAATTCATATTTTGCAGCAGCTGAATGGGGGCTCGGGAGTGAAAATCCAATGAGCAGTCAATACTATTTCAAACTAACTTGCTGAACACACAGAACAGAGAGAAATGGCCTCTGAAACATCGGAGCTCATTGGACTGTGCTTTTGTTCCGCTTTTATCACTCTGTCTCTGAAGGTAGTGCATTCTTATTAGATCCCTTAAAAATAGATGCAAGCCTTCCAAGTCAGTGAGTTCTTGCAGCCTCCCCCTGGAAGTTTTAATTAGAACACCAGTCACTCGTGTTATCGTTGTTTCAAGAGGGCAGCTTCCACATTCCTGAGCTGCCCACTTCATCATAGGATCTGAGGCCCGCAATGAGTGCCCTGTTTAGGACGGCTGCCTCATATCCCCTCTGGATTTTTACCTAGAGAATCACAATCCGGATCACTGTTGGAAAGCCGATGTGCTCAAATTTAAAAGGCAGGATTATGGTAGAGACATTTATTCTACATGTAAAGAGTCTTAACATGTCCTTTATAATGAAAACAATTGTTGCAAGAGCAGCAGGGTACATGCAGTGAGCTCTCCACTTATATAAAAAGAATAGAAATAGACAATAAGAACCCCAACACTCTTCATGTAAAGGACTTCTGGGTGATGAAAAACAGCCTGTCGGTCCAAGGCACTTTGGTGACTGTGAAAGGTTATTCTATGTTGTTGTTGATGTATCAGATGAGGAACTGACTTCATACCTCAAGGCACAACTCTGGGCTTTTAAGTAAAGGTATAGCTAAAGGCAGCAATCTATTTTTGTACCTGAGGAGCTTTACAAACTCTTGCAACAGTTGAGCAGCAATGAGGTAAAGCAAGCATTGCCTCTGAAGATACAAAATACCTAAATGGTAAAATCATTTGAAAGACTCATCTGCAATTTTCAAATTATGTCCTGATTATTCTGGATAATCCACAGTCTTTCCTCTTAACAGTGTTTTTGGGAATTACTTTTACCAAAGAAATAGTCCCTATGAAATCCTGACAGTGTGTTGTGTGAATTAACCATATTAATGTGGACATTAATGGAGAGAGAAGCCTGCCACTGTTATGATTTCTCAGTGCTATTAGTGCCACAAACTAATTCTGGCTAGATACCACTAGAGAAGTGAGAAAATATTGAGTAATTTGGGTGAACGGACTCTTTAACAACACCAAATAGCCCCACACATATGTCATTATATGATTGGCTGTCATGTAGCTTCACATTAGTTGCGCAGATGCCAGATGTTTATTATTCAAGTCTTAATTTCATTGAATAAATCTGTACAGTGTGCGCTCCTCTCTCCAAATGACCAAATGGCCTCGGTGGAATCACAGTATACTAATGACATCTGGCCAGTGGAACATCATGGGTGACTTTCATCTTCCAGCCAGTGGATCATTACTGTAGGTTTTGTTTGGCACTCTCATTCATTGAGAGGAGGATGGGAGGGAGGGGCGAAGAGGTCTTCTGGTTTAAAATGAACTGACCTGTAATTGCACTATGCTGCCCCCTGTTGAAGAACTGTTCTGCATGTTGTGTTTACATCATGACTGAGTGGACTGATGTGGTGTCTTGTCTGGATTTTATGACTGGATGTGACAACTAAACCTGAGTTTAATACGCTTAGATGCCCTTGTGGAGTAAATAGACAAATTCTGCAAATGTTTAAAACTGTAGGGTTTGGGTAGATAGTAGATTTACATTATCAATGTGTATTTCTCAGAGTATGCCTAACAGTATATAGGGTGATTCCATTGTCCTGTATTTAACCCATTTCAGCTAGTAGACCGTGCTGTCATAAAGACAAAAAACAAAACATAATTCTAAAAAATTGTAAAGAAAGTGTTATAATTAACGACACAGGATTACATAGATTAGTTATTTGAACGGAAAAACAGTCATTAGCATGTGCAGTAAATAGAGCCATAAACCTCTTCAGCATAAGGAAACATAGAAACGTGAGGGTTTGTCTCCTATTGATTCAATTCTAGCATAATAGGATGCATCAGCACAGATTATTCCTCCCAGGACAGTGATATGATGGCTGCTGTCTGGAACAAAGGCCCTCTGCTCTTGGCGCACAAGGGGTTAAGGTGTGTGAACGCC